GTGGGTGGGTGGGAGAAATCACATCCGTTTTTTTATGTAATTGTGTTCTCTGAGATGAGTGAATTCACAATTTACTATTCGATTAGCAGTCTGCAATTTACACATTCCTTTGAAAACCAAAATTATTCCGATCACAGTATGTTATCTGCCTGATACCATATGTAATAATGAAGGAAGTAAGCAAGCCTAAATAGCTACTCAGAATTCGAGTGGTTTGGAACTGATTCCGCTGTATTTGAGCGTAGTCGAGGCGGATACGCAGCAGATGAGCTTGGCCTCAAATCCACGAAACGGCCATCCAGTGACTAGATCACTTTTGACCTGCATAGGAAGCTCTGCTAGTTGGGGAAAGTGGTATACAACTACTTATCTCAACCAATCAGCTTTCACTAACTTTCTAGGAAGCAACTTCTGTGCCTACTTTAGGCATTTCAGAATTCTTTGTAAATGACATAGGTATCTCTTCTGGTGATGTAGGATAGGTAATTGGTTGTCTTCAGAGTTTTTCATATACTGGTGATAATCTGCGTTGATGTCGATAGTTTCGTTGAATTAGTCTTTGACCTCTTTGTTAGTTTTGCCAAGTGACCTGTTCTGTACCAATTGATAAGCTGGATCTATGTCAACACATTTGTTGAGTTAAGATTGATTTCATCCTAGAATGGAAACCAGCTGTTAAAGCATATATGTAGAGAAAATTTCGTAACAGCAGGAATACTAGTACACACAGCAGACAGGTCGACGTACATGATAATAAATCACTTAGTAATAACATCGAATTCTCACTGAATGAAACTATCAGTAAAATGTAGATTTTTTTTGATGACTGACTGTTTCAACGTAGAACTTTGCACAAGTGTTCAGCAGTTCGAGTTGCCACATTCCCTTCATGTAGCACATAAAGCAAGAGAAGAGAGAGAGATATTAAACAGAAGTGTGAGTAAGGGAAAAACAATAGAGTTCTATTGGATATGATAAATCACGAAGAGTGAACTCATCTGCGCCAGCCATTGAGAACGATTTTGATCCATATTATCAATTGTCTCCAGCCTTCATTGGTTTATACCATCCCGAGCACCCCAACCAAACTGGTAGTCTACATCTCCCGACGTGGCTGGCGCTTAAAACTGTTTTGAATTTCATTGAATGATGAGGCCTTTTTTTTGTTTTGCCCACCACCAGCTCTTTTCCAACCTGATCGATCTTATGTCGGTCGGTCGGTCGGTTTTCGACATAGAACTTTGCACATATGTGCACCAGTCCAAGTCGCCACAATCTATGTAGCACGCAAAACAAATGAAGAAAGTAGAAGAAATGCATAATATAGACAGTAAACAGAGGTGAGACAAAGGAATAGTAATAACGGAGAACAAAACAGTTTAATTGGAAATCATAAGTCACAAGGAGTGGATGCATCTGCGCCAGCCACTGAGAACGATTTTGAGCCATGTCACCAATTGTTTCCAACCATTGGTTTTTACCATCCCGAGGGCCCCAACCAGGAAGTCTACATCTTCCTACGTGGCTTAGATTAACAGTTGTGGATTTCATTGATTGGTGCCATGTTTTGGTTTGACCGCCGCTAGCTCTTTTCCAGCCTGGCCCTATATCAGCTAACATTGCCCGTCGAGGAAGGCGATGACTAGGCATACGTAACACATGTCCTAACCATCTCAGTCGATGTAATTTCACCGTTTCGTCGATTGATTTCCCCTCCTTACCTAGCACTCGACGCCTAACCTCAATATTGCTCAGCTTATTATACCACTTCACACGGGAGATAGAACGCAGACACCTATGATCGAACACAGATAATCTTTTCATGTCTTCCTCTCTCAATGGCCAGGTCTCACAGCCATAAAGGAGGACGGAGCGGACTGTTGAGCAGTACACACGCCCTTTAGTCGATAGTCGAATATCGCGTCTACGCCAGAGACGGCGAAAACTGGCGAATGCGAACCTAGCCCTCTGTATTCGTGCTGAAATTTCGTCTGAGATCAGCCCGTTGGGGCTGATGGTACTTCCCAAGTAATTGAAGCGGTCAACGTGTTCTACCACTTCACTTCCTATTTCTAATCTAGGGGTCGATGAAGTCCAATCCTGCAGCATCATCTTACATTTTACAGGGGCGAATCGCATGCCAAACATACGGAGATTGTTGCTCAGGGTGTTCAGTAGACTCTGCATTTTGTCAGAGTCCTCGCCTAGAAGGACTATATCGTCCGCATATTCTAAGTCAACGAGATTATTCCCTGGTAGCAAGTCAATCCCTGAGTCGCTGAAGTGTGATAAGGTTAAGTCCATTAGTACGTCTATGATGAAATTGAATAGGAATGGGGATAATGGGCATCCTTGACGGACGCCACTAGTCGTCACCACTTCAGATGACAACTCGCCATAAGCCCTCACCTGGCTGCATGAGTACGAGTAGAGTGCCTTAATCAGTACAATGTATTTTCTTGGCATTCCCTTTACAGCCAAGCATCGCCAGAGAACCTCCCGGTCGACAGAATCGAATGCCGCCTTTAGGTCAAGAAATATAATGATTGTCGGACGCCGGTAGGAATGCCTATGTTCTAGAATCTGTCGAAGGGTGAAGATGTGATCAATACACCCTCTACCTGGCCTAAAACCTGCCTGGTTTTCCCGTGTTTGTGTCTCCCGAGCGCCACTTAGTCTACGCAGTATTATTGAGCCTAGGATTTTAGATACTATATTAGTCAAGCTAATCCCTCTGTGATTATCACAAGACGACTTGTCCCCCTTCTTGTATATCGGGATGATCAGTGACTTACACCAACCCGATGGGACTTCCTCTGATTCCCAGACGCTGCCTAGGACCACCGTTAACGCAGACAGTAAACTGTCTCCTCCGTACTTAAATATCTCTGGAGTCAATAAATCAGGTCCCGCTGCTTTGCCTAGCTTCAGATTGGTGACAGCTTTAGTAACCTCAGTTAAGGACGGAGGACCTGTGTCTATCTCCCATTCAGGGAGGTGTTGGATGTCCGGCAGGTTAAGTGTGGCTGTGGGCCAATTAAACTGCTCCTCATAGTGTTCTTTCCAGCGCTCCAGACGTCTATCCTGGGAGCTAATTATGGTGCCATTTTTCTCGGAGATTGTTTCACTTATCATTTGCCTTTTACCACCTGTTTCCCTGATAAGCCTGAATAGTTGTCTGGTGTTGCCTATCGCCGATGCTTTTTCCATCTCTTTCGCCTTTGTCAACCACCACTGTTCACGGTCCTTGCGGAGACTTTTCGTAAGTTTCTTTTTGTGCAGCTTTCGCTCCTCATTGAATTCGGAGCTCGCCGGAATAAGTCTTCTAGCATCTATCAGTTCGGATGAGGCAGTCGAAATCCAATGGTTTTTACTCACCTTTGGATTTACCTTATTCACAGCTTTTACGGCTGTATCTATGGCTGACTGAATATTCTTCCAGGCTTCTTCAGGGTGAGCGCAGCTGTCGAACTCAGATATGTGTTTAGCTAGTTCTTCCTCAAATAGGGACTTAGTTCCCTGGTCGAGCTGGGGACGTGATGGGTTTACCGCCAGCTGTTTCCTACGTCCGTTCAGTCGTAAGCACATACGAGCGCGGACCAGTGCGTGGTCGGTATCTACACACGTGTTCCAGAAGGAGCGACAATCTCCTACCGACCCACGCCAACGATAGCTTATTGCTATGTGGTCTATTTGTGTCCAGCGTTGATTTGATGATGGTGGTCGCCAGGTCAAACAGTGTCTCTCCTTGTGTTTGAAGTTAGTGCTTACAAGATACAAATGATTATCTGAACAGAACTGTAGGAGACGGTCACCGTTGTCGGTTCGCTGGCACGGAATTCCGTATGTGCCACCGACATTCTTGTCAGATTGACACAATTTCCCTACTTGAGCATTAAAGTCACCAGCTAAGACGACTATATCTGAGCGTCTAGCCTTTCGCAGCAAACTAGACAGCTTTTGGTAGAACTCATCCTTCGTTTCATCCGAACTGCAGTCAGTGGGGGCGTAGGCGGAGATTACGAAAAGGCATCGGCGGGTAGTGCAGTCCTTTCTCCTTTTCACTGATCCGTTCAGACGGACAGCAAGATCTTATGTCAGCTAACATTGCCCATCAAATAAAGGCTGGTTGATATGACATGGAATAAGAAAATAAATAGATTTGTTGTAAAATAAAGTGAATTCTATTTTAAAATGAAATTAAATAGATTTTTTTGAGTTCTGTAGAGAATTCCATTATTGTAGATCAATGTAGATTTCATATAATGAATAGTCAATGGACTAGCATTGTAACCTCTAGGGGGTGTCCATTTCGATCCCTTATGGGGTTCATGAGTACATGCGCACAACTGAAGATCACTGAACTTGAAGGGCACAATTGTTCAGTGCTGCTTTTGGTCACGAAATGCACATTAAGGTGATATCATTGACAGTATTGTGCGTCGGTGGCACAGTAGTTAGGACTTTAGCCGACTAAGCACATGGTCCAGGGTTCGATCCCCCTGCCAACGCACACCTGATATCAATGGTCGGTCTGCAAAATTTGGGCTACCGGTATCACATGCTAAAAATTCCATACTTGTACCAAAAATACGGTGTGGATACTTTGCAAACAGATCACTCGTTTGGTTTCTCATATCGATTTCTATTGTTGTTTACTCATATCAGTGTAACAGTATGTTCGGGCATGTTACCAGCACTGTTATTTTAGTTAGTTACTAATGTCCTACATCTAGTCCTTCGCCTGATGCAGACTGAATTCTATCAGCATGGTTTGCAATTTAATCACAATGCTAGGTGGCTTGGTGTGAACGTGCACTTCGATTTTTTATTGTTATGAAATGGTTGGAGGCGATCGGGGGAGGAAACCTTGAACCAGACATACTCTTCTTGAAGGATATTCATATCCCTTCTGGGATTCTTTCTCTTCTCCAACAATTTAATTGAAATACAGGATATTTTTATTGTCTTGTCGTGTTTTTCACCTGTTTACTTTATAGGTACAACTAATCTTCAATTCGCGGATGGTTCTCATTATACATGGACAAAAGTCACTACAGTTGTGCATAATTTAATTGTTGGTACAATATGGATTGATAATTGTGGTGACCTGATTATACAAAATCATAAAAATGGTTATACATGCAGTCTGCAATTTATAGCACATTCCTTTTTTAATAGAGGACAGCCAAGACGAGTAAGTCTATTAAAGACTTTCTTTCTTTACTTTTGTTTATTTGCATATCTACAAGTTTGATGTTTTAATAGTTTTTATTACTATTATTTTATTCCCTAAAGTTTCCAGTGAAACATGGGGCTTCAAGCTACAGCTTTGAAGTTTCGGTAGCAACGGTATTTATTTTTACGGGATTGGGTTGCTAGCCTCAGGCTAACCCTCCCTCTTTACCAGCTTTTTATTACTGGCTTAGCTAGGTGAAGGAGTGTGTCGGCCGGTAGAATGTTCGCCGACCACGCAGGTGGTTCGTGGTTCGATCCCTGGCCGGTGCGCCTACCTGCCTCACTAAGCCAGTGAAAAGGGAAGGTTGAGCATGGGGTTAGCAACCTCATCCCGTAAAAGTAAACACCACTACAATCGAAACTTGAAAGCTTTGCATTGAGCCCTATGTTCCACTGGAACGTAAAGGAAAAAAATAATGAAATATAGACAGATGGATAGAAGTTGTTATAGCATAGAGTTTGCAGCATCACCCTCTGAGCAATTCGAGTTATTTAAAGCGACACACCCACGCATGCATACATACATGCACAATGAATATAAGGTGTTGGTGGGGAAAGGCAATTTATTATATCATTCCTTTACGTTCTGAGTGGAACAAAGGGGGCTTCAAACCAGAGCTTTAAGGTTTCCGTAGCGGTGGTTTTATTTTTATGCAGTGGAGTTGCTAGCCTCGCAGCCAACCTTCCCTCTTTACTGGGGTTCAGGATTGCTACGACTGAGGAGCGAATCCCACCGACGCACTGGAGAGAGGTGACAAGAAGAAAGCGTAAACAACACTTTTTTTAACATATCATAGGTTGAAAATAAGGAATTTGACGAAGCCAGTAGAAGGCGCATTACTATACAAGTAAAGACCTAGATTTAGTCTTCGTATTATACTATAAGAAATCGGAAACCATTAATCCTATTTATCACTTTAACGCTAAGACTATAGATCATTTAAAAGATTAAGTTACTGACCAGCTGATTATAACTATTACTAGTAATAGTATTAGTAGTAATAATCGGTACTCACATTATTCGAGGAAATTGACAACATCTAGATTATGGTTTTTACGAGTTGATCACGGATTGATATCAGTTAGAGAACCATTAAAAACCAACCAGGGAGTACTGGACAGCTGCTGTTTCATCCTAGTTTGGGAATCATCGGCAGTACGCACCCACCACCAAGGTTCGAACCCAGGACCTTCCGGCTACAAGGCAGGCTCGCATACCATTCAGCCACTGGGACCCAATTCAATGGCTCATGAATCCTAACTTCTACCAGTTCCTAATTTAGCATGACCCGAACCATTGTCGTCGATGGGACATCCACCCTCACACGTGACTGGATGGACCTCACTGGTCACGACTTCTCACTAGAACTCCAGGAAACTCTGTCCTGTAGTAAGTCACTAGCGAGCATTGGTTAGGGTCGCGCTAAATCACGAATTGGTAGAAGTTAGAATTCATGAGCTGGCCATTGAATCGGGTCCCAGTGGCTGAATGGTATACGAGCTTGCCTTGTAACCGGAAGGTCCTAGGTTCGAAGCCTGGTGGTGGGTGCGTACTGGCGATGATTCCCAAACTAGGAGGAAACAGCTGTCCAGTACTCCCTGGTTGGTTTTTTAATGCTTCTCTAACTGATATCAATCCGTGATCAACTCGTAAAAACAAAACTAATCCTTATAAACCAACTATAGAAAATCGAGATTATGAACTTTTGTAAGGATATGGATCAATTTCAATGTAGATTCCGTGGATGAATCAACATAAGTTAGATAGAGATCACTGAGAATGGGAGAGAGAGAAAGAGCACACTGGACAGCTGTGTTTCATCCTACTTTGGGACTGTGTTATTGACTCGTGACGAAATCTGCTTTAAAATCAATCCAGATCCCTACGAAAATACCCATGATCTAAATGTTAATCTCTGAAAGCCTACATGCAATGGACAATATTCACATTTTAGTAGTTTTTGTCCAAATAGCTACCTATAAACGAGCACTAGTCAAGATTCTGTAGCATAGAGCTAGGAGAATATGCTCTACAGAGAAATTAGAAGAAGAATTTATGATTCTCAAAGGAAATGTTGAAAAACAACGGCTACCCTCAGAGATTCATTAACAAGTATGGAAGATGTGAAGGCTCGAACATTAAACAAACCACAATGGGGTGGGGGAAAGCCTGTCTTCCTTAAAAGTGAAAATATTGCAGAAGATTGAGTACGTTAGTAGCCAGAGCCTATCCTTCAGCTAAGTTGGTTCCCGTCTATCGGACAATATGCTCCTTGATGTAGTCAAAAGTCTACAGATACCCTTCTCATGTTAACTCCAGCTGTGTATACAAATTTACGTGTATCTGTGAGAGCAAATACATTTTGAGAACAGAAAGAAAGGCGCACCTCCGATTTCCCGAACATGTACCAAGAGGCCTACATGTCAAGGGAACAAACGCTTACAATAGTGCCATTACTAGGCATCCCCTTGATACGGGTCATGAGGTGGAAATCGCGAAGTCCTTTAAAATTATCAATAGACATAAAAGCTCACTTCTCCTCAAGTTTACCGAAGCAGTCTCTGTCAAACGCCTAAAACCCGATTCAAGCGTGTTCACAGAGAAGCAGTTATCAGTCTTGTCTCGCCAAACTGGTAACTGGATGTCTTCATTTTCCCTTTCATTTGATTACGTAATCTTCGGCTTTTACCTCCCTCTCTCTCTCTCTTCCTTTTCTATTCTATCATTGTTTAGGTTACGGGTTTTGTAAAAAATCCCTCCGATATACCAGTTGCAATAGTTCAAGGAACATGGGATGATCATATTGAATATCAACCTTTGTCAGTTGATAAAGTCCCCATTGGTGAGCCGACATTATTATGGAAATGTAATCCACTACCTCCGAATGCATCAGATGTAAGTTCAGTCTTAATTTTTTTTTGATTTTCCTGTTGATTGAAAATATTTCTTTCCCGATACGCATTTAAAACAAGCAACAAAGCAGGTTAATAAAGCAGGGGATTTAATGAATTCATCAAATTTTGGTAGAACTCTTCCTCAGCTGAATACTCTACATACACGGATAGATATATACTTTTGAAATTACATTGGGAGATATAAGACTGATAAGTAAATAAACTACATTGAATTACACATTTTCATAGGGAATAAAAAGACAGTTGCAGCGAAGAAAATTTTCTTTTCGACGAAGTCATCATCTAGGCTGTACATTCGTGTATTTATATCAAATGGATGGGAAAGTTCCAGAACAATTTCTGGTTAGGGTGAATAATAATTTTAATTTTTTATTATCCCCTGTTATTATGGCATTCTAATTCCTAATTGTAATTTTTATTCAACCCCTAACCAGAAATTGTTCTGGAACTTTCCCATCCATTTGATATAAATACACGAATGTACAGCCTAGATGATGACTTCGTCGAAAAATTCAGGTCATGTTCAAATAGATAAGGGGAGAGAGAGTATGAGAGATCAAAATTAAGATAAAATGCATTACGCTTCAATTACGTCACTTAGATAAACAATTAGTCATTAGAGAATATATCAAGAATTGCAAACAGAGTAATATCAATAGAAATAGTTATAATAATAATAATGTTGAATTGAGTTAAGATAATGCTACTGATAAAGGATAGTTTTAAATGAATCAATAATAATAATAATAGGTAGAATAATAAGTAAAACGTATTACCATGGTAGATTCAGAGTGACGACCATCTCCTTTTGTACACAGAGACCTGGTTTATAAACTTGAATTGCACAAGCCTCTGCAATTGCAAGCATCTTCTTGTTTCTTTGTCTGCTGACAATAGTGAATGACTTGACAGCGTCGATATCATGTCCATAGTCCACAAGATGTTTTGTTATTGAGGTTTTTGGGACTTTGCACTCAGCTGTTTTCAACCATTTTGGCAAATGCTCCATCATGCGAGTAGACAGTCGCCTTTCTGTACAACCTATGTATTCGCTTCAACAAACACACTCAAATTGATATGCGCAGTTTGAAGTGTCAAGGATTGGAGACTGGTCTTTCCCAGATTGTTGAAGAACTCGCTTGATGGTGTTAAGGAAAACAAGTTTTGCAGAATAATAAGTTCTCTTGATAGATTTATCAAGTCTTCGTTTGGCTACTTCCTGTACATCATCTCCTTTGAATGGCAAACTGATATAGACAGATTTCTTCAGAACTGTTTGGATAGTATTTGAGTATTTATTAATGAACTTCTCAGGATATCCATTCTTAGATAAAATATCCTTCTTAGCTTTTATTTCATACTCAATAGTACAGTTAGAACAAATTTTCCGTGCTCTATTGAACGGTGTTCTGACTAAGTTCTTTTTACAATGGATTGGAACAAAGCTCTTGAAATGCATGCACTGCCCTGTCCATGAAGAATTTCTAAATAATAGATCTTTCGACTGTGCCATCAGTCCTTTTCCCTAGAAAAACGTCTAGGAATTTAATAGTATGATTTTCTTCGTGTTCTATTGTGAAATTGAGATTCGGATGGTATGAATTGAATTTTATCAGCATGTCTTCAGCTTTTAATCTCCTTGATTGATTGGACTGATATGTTCGCCTTCTGTTGACTTATCAACTCCTGGTATGGACACTTCAACAGTGTTTGAGGATTAATTTGAATTGAATTAATGGAAGGTGGTGACTAGCCGTGGTGTGGGATCGAGGATGGACTTTTCGTCCTATTTGAGACTACTCATCATCTGGATGTACGTACATTCCCCCTAGTGAATGATGCTGTCCCCGGTGAGACTCGAACTCCCAAGCGTTATCCACTAGACTACCTGGACACAAGAACCACTTCTTGTGGCAAGGATGGAATGCACATCCTGGATTCCACTGCTAGTTATCATCCACCAAACAAAAGTAAACAGGGAGGAGTAGCGAAGGAGTGTAACACTTGAGTGTGTTGAGAAGTTTTATTAGCCTTGCTGGATTCATCTCACAACATGGATACGAAAAACTCGCGTGGCATCTGGAAACTTACATCATCTGTGCCTCTGATGTCTTATCTCTTTCTCTCTCTCTCTCCATCAAAAACTCAGAAATGCTCTTTTTCCTTTTTTTATGAGTGTTAGATGTGGTTGATAAAGTGGAATGTAGGAAAGAATTATCTATTTTCACCCGTGGATATCTGCCTTGAATTTCTTATGTTAAGCGGGTTATAAATATGGTCAATAATAACAAGACTACGTCGGTGGGGAGGGGAAGAAGTTACTCGATGAGGTTGTGAAGCTGCATTATTTGAAATGGGTGGGGCATGTGATATATGCATACCCACCTATCCATATCGATTAACGTAATATTCTGGTTGGAAAAGTAGTGAGCATCAGTTAGAAATTTTAACTGTTACTTTTAGCCGAAATGAAGAGGTGTAATTTCCTTGTCTCTCGAGGTTTTGGAATGGCTGGAGATTATTGCTGACATGATTGAAAGTCGTTGTTCTCAATAGCCCAGATTTATTCACTCTTCCGTTTCCCTCCAGAGTCTAAAAAGATAATGAGTGAAGTAGTAGGGCGTGTTGACCAATTCATTTATTTGGGAAGTTGCATCAGCCTCAACCGACTGATTGACGGTGAAATCTCAACAGCGATACAAAGGGATTGTGTAGCGCACTTTCCAACCTACATCATCTCTGGTGTAGATATGATATTCAGCTATCGATGGAAGAAAGTGTGTACTGTTCAGTAGGTTCTCTCTGTCCTCATTTATGCCTAGCTATGAGACATGGTCATGGATCTTAGGTGTCTGCTTTCCATCTCCCATGTTAGGTAGTTTAATATAATGAGTAATATTGAGGTTAGGCGTTGAGTGTTAGGTAAGGAGGCATAGTTGATCAATGAGATTGTGCAGTTCAATCGACTGAGATCACTAGGAAACGTGTTGAGCATACCGAGCCATTGCTTAACTCGACGGGAAATGTTGACTGACATAGCATCGAGTTGGTAAAGATGAAGAGATAGTCAAACGAAAACCTGTCATCAGTCCGTGAAATCTTTAACAGTCGGTTTAAGTCAACCATGAGGGAGAGGCCTAAACTTCCTGGCTGGAAACTATTGGCGATATGGTGTAAAATCGTTATCAATGGTGCAGATACCTTCGCCCTTTATGATCTCCCATATATATTGAACGTTATCGCTTTTTCTGTGTTGGAAATCAGTCAGTCAACCAGATAAGCATAAATGAACTGACAACAGTTTAATCTTTGAGTTCTTCCATCACTCCACATACGTCTGCGATGAGAGCTGTCTGCAAGCCAAAATTGTAAACAACAATTTACTTTTATGTTTACGTCCCGAATTGGGGTCAGGAGAGAAAACAAGAACAAAGCCTAACCTTGAGGAATTCAACAACCAATCACATCAGACTTTGCGTGGGCGGATACGATTCGCAGATAAATCACCGGACTGTCTAAGAAACGGCAACAAAGAAATGACCCAATAACCTTCAGCAGGAAAACAACCAATCAGAAGACGTTGCTTCCCTGCCAACAATAACGAATAATAATGTACATAAAAATCTATAAATATCTGTTGATTTTCTCAATAAACGATCTGTTGACTGGCCCTTGTTTTCTGTTGTTATACGTCTACTGCATTAAGTATCAGGTCTTTCTGTATCAGGTATTGAGAGGAGCATGTTAAATATTTAGTCACTAGTGTTATCATCAACGATGTTTATACTTTCTACACTTTTAGATGTATCATTTCTCACAATTCGCTATTGAATTAAATGAAATGGAAGAGGGTGTTGCACCGACAGATTCAAGGTTTAGACCTGATCAACGTCTTATGGAAGAAGGACTTTGGGATCAAGCAAATGATGAGAAACGTCGTTTAGAAGTTAAACAACGAAATAAACGACACGCTTGGGAAAAAGCAGTTCGAGAAGGTTGGTGTTATCTTTTATTTTGCCTCTATAATTGTCTTGATTGTGATAAGAAGAAGTATTTACTTGTTAGGTGTTTTAGATGGAAATTGTGTTGTTAGAACTTAGCTACCTGAAAAGGCTTCCTCATACATACATACACGGGGTTATGTGCCGTAAGAACTGACTGTACTAACCAGTTTCTGAGACACCTGACTGGATTTCGAACTCAGGATTCATGGATCGTGGAAGTTCGACTTCTTAAGTTAACATTCCATATCTACTTAATTAATAAATAGCACATTCAGCAGTATCCCCTTTGGTAAGTTCGTCGGTTTAAGTTTCCTAACTAATCTTGGTGATATAGCTTTACTATCAATGGAATCATATCGTTTCTCTGGAGAAACTAGTAACACTATAATAGAATATGATACCTAGACTTTGATAACGAATATAAGTATAAAACTTGGGCACTGTGGTAGAGTATAACTCCTTTATAGATAAGATTTTGATAAATCCACACAGTGGTGTTATACAGTGATATTAATTGATGACGTTTGGAGCACAAACTATTGCTACTCATAATCATATCAAGTCACTCACACAACTTAGTTAAGTTGTCTAACAAACCGAGCAGTAGCACTAAGTAGTACAAAAAAGACCTAAACGATGAAATGAAACAGATAGAAGAGGCGTTGGTGTTAAATAACTATCCTATAAAATTCATAAGGAAGATCAGAAAAAGCCAAAAGAGAAATAAAAATAATTGTGAAACTAATAATGATAACATAAATAAGAGAGAATACAAGTCATCTACTGTTATACCATATAAGGAGGGGACATCTGAGACCTCCCTACGTAGGATTCTTAATAAAGCAGGAATTAGGGTGGCATTCAAACCTACAAACTCACTCAGAGACAACCTCTGTAGGTTAAAGGACCCTGTGGACCCAATTAGAAAAAATAATTTAATTTACAAAATACCTTGCAATGACTGTGAGTGAGGTCAACTACATAGGTCAAACCAGTAGATGGGGGTTAGTCAGATTATCAGAACCTAAGAATTTAGCTGAGTGTAGAATGGTTGACCCCGAGAAGATAAGTAATTTAGAAAAAAGGTCAGCAATTGCACTGCATGCATTAACACACAACCACACAATAGGGTGGGAGAGGGTTAAAATTCTAAGAAGTAATATAAGTAGGTGGAGAGAGAGAGACTGATTACTGAATCCTGTGTTCATCGAGTCTACACCCAACACAACACATGCAACAAAAATGACTCAATGCAAATACCAGAGATATGCATGGAAGATATTATTACCACCAGTCAGTCAAATCAGAGGAGGATAATAAATAATCTCAAAATTCTATTTCAATTCAATTCACGTACATCATAACATTCTAACAAGTTACTTATTTTGACTATAAAAACACTCGTCTTATTTCCCATCTGATTGTACTTGATTGATAACACTCATATTATTATTTCTGAATGTACATTATCCTATATTGATTTTTATTCAAATGTCTAATCATCAATTCCACTCATGTATATAAATAAGCAAAAAAGTTGTTTGAGTGAGTGACTTGATATGATTGTGAGTAGTAATATTTTGTGGTCGAAACGTTATCAGTTAATATTACTGCATAACACAACACTGTGTGATTTATCAAAATAAAATTTGATAAGGAATGTTTTGCCAATAAAATTCACAGTTTTCCGAAAGCTAAAATCACCTGAAGATTCATAAACGTCATGCATGATCTGTAAATATTAGCTGACAATTACTTATGCAACCAACCTTCTTCTATGTGTGATTAACTGTCTTGAATACAGTATAACTGCCACACGTTTCAATATAGATCTTAATATCATCTTCAATTACCAGTAATTACACTTTCCTGACCACCACCCGCCACCATCGCCTTCACCAGTGTTGAACTTCAAGAATCAACTGCTATTTATTATTGGTTCATCATTTCATTAAAATCACCTCTTTATCCCAAGATTATCACATCACATCTGACCAGCTGAATATTAGATGTTAAGAAAGTAGATAGACTGGAGTAAGTATTTAGTCGTTGGTGAGATTGTCTAGGATAGCTGTGGTCAGACAGACAGACTCATATAGATCTAACGGATGATAAATAAAAGTGATATTAAAATCCCAGGTCTCACAGGAGGTTTCAAAGCACCATCTTCAGCTTGCATCACCATCATTCAATCCAAGGATATCTCGAAACGGTCTCAATAGTGGGAAGTCGTGATCAGCGGGGTCCATCAAGTTGGGCTGGCATTAGCTGGCGATCAGTCTTTATCTCAAACTGGCAGAAGTTAGAATCGATGGACCGGTCGTTGAATTCCAGTGTCCCATTGGCTGAATAGTATACAAGTTCGCCGTGTAACCTGAAAGGAGCACAGGTACTGGGTTCGATCCCTTCTGGTGCAGTCATAATTGTGTACATCTGAGGAGTCCAGTACTCTACAGTTTATATTGACTGTCTAACTTAAGTCATGCCATGTTTTGGAGACGATTGTTAGGCATACGTACGTACTGCGCATGCCTAACCATCGTCTCCCCCGACGGGCATTACTAGCTGATATAGGTGCAGGTTGGAAAGGAGTAAGCGGTGTCCAAACAAAAACATGGCATCAATCCATGAAATCCTTGACAGTTAAACTGAGTCAGGTAGGGAGATGCAGACTTCCGGGTTTTGGGCCCTCGGGACTCTAAGAATCACTGGCTGGAGACAATAGGTGACATGGCTCAAAATCGTTGTCAATGGCGCAGATGTATTCAGTCTCTGTAATCTTTCATATTCCTTTCTACCATTACTCATTCTGTTTCACTCTTATACCTGTCAAAACTCTATTGATTCTCTTCACTCATCTTCTTGTCTACCTTTGTGTGCTATTTGGAACGTGGCGACTCGAACTGCTGCACTTCGGTGCCAAGTTCTATGTTGAATCCAGCAGCAGCAGCAACTTAAGTCAAGTCGTGATTAAAATTGAGGTCTCACTAGATATGCTTGAGTTTCGTCCAAAATAGTAAACAGTTAGTTAACATGTTTACTAAGAGTGTGGTGAGAGCTGGCTGCTAGCCAAATTGGTAGACATTAATTTACGTCAAGGTTTATGTCCCAAATATTGGTAATGAGAAAAATAGGAACAAAGACTTAGCGTAGACGGCTACAGTTAGCATATGGATGATCTGACACAGCCACAAAGAGATGCAAGGTTAACTTTCTGTGAAAAACAACCAATCAAAAGACTGTGTTTGTCTGCTAACAATAATCTATAATAATGTACATGAAAATCTATAAATATGTGTTGATTTCGTTAATAAACGATCTGTTGCCTGGCCCTTGTCGTCTGTTGTTACAAGAGCATTACTTATATTGATGAATTAATAAACTCTATACGAGGAAGAAGCTCTTTTCTTCGTGGTACGTAAAGTTAAGTGACTTTGGAGTAATCTGCCCGCCCATAGGGGAAAATCGGAAATCGACCTCACTTTAGTCATATACACATTGTAGCGAAGTTCAACAATAGCGTCCCAGGAGCGCGCGAACACACATGTCATTGTCAATAGCGCTGAAATATCAGCGCTATTCACCAACTATAAGGAGCAAATTTCACCTAGATTACGTTTTTAAGTACTGTTCGGATAATGTATTAATAGGTCGTTAGGGTTAGGATTAGGGTTAAGGTAAGTATTGAGGTTAAGGTTGGTGTTAAGTTTAGGTTTAGAGTCAGGATTAAGGCTAGGGTTACGATTAGGAGGTCATTTATTTTAATTTGTTTTATTACCAACATTTTCCTGGTAATTAGTCGTCGATTCTCTTACTGGAAACTATAGTAATTCAACCGAAGGCTTTCGGGGAAGACAGCACAAGAGGATAAGAAAGATAAACAGTCCAAAAAACAGCTCATCTTCAGTCACCTCGGTGAATACATGTACAGACACTAGTCTAACTTAGCAACTGTTACTCCTCATTATAATTAAGTCATGTCAGAGAAAGATACCCTGTTTAATGTGTTTTCATGCATTTTCCTGTAAATATACGTCATCTTTTTGTGCAAACATTCCTCATTTTTATGATTGGTCGGCTCAGAGTCACTCGTGCGTTCGCATCTCTTGGGATGCTATTGTCGGCCTTTGCCCATATATTGTTAGTTAACGTCTACTTTTCTTCAAGGAATAGTCTGTTTTCTTATCGTGGTTATAATATTAACATTATTCTTTTTATTTATATATTTTTTTTTGTTTATCACTCTTGTCCAATTAAGGTCTAACAAATGAACCACTATTCACACCGATTTGGTTTGCTCCAAAACATGATTCCAATGGTAATGTATATCATGTCTACTTGAACAACTATTGGCAAGCTAAAGAGAAACAAGATTGGTCAAAATGTCCTGATATTTATTAAGAATAAATAAAATTCACAATATTTTCCCCAACGCGCAAACTAACTCACTCACTCATCAGTTAGTTAGTTAGTTAGTTACCTTTTCAAATGTCATGTGTCAGCATTCCACGACTTCAATTTCTTCCATCTTGATGTCAATAGAGTGAAGCATGATTATCTCTTTCCTGATCTTTGTACTCCTCCTCTGTTTTTTTAATTCTTTTCGTTTTATTCGACTGGCTATTGTTTATATACACACGAACATACACACAGACACTCCCTTTTTGATTGTTACCTTTCCCTTTCTGACATGTCTGGCTTCCTTATTCTTCTTCGTCCTTTCCGCCCCCCGCCCCCCTCGGTCTTTGACTCCTTCTTTTTGAATACACTTTTGACCTATGCGTTAGTGTTATTTCTTCTCTAATTGTTCCACACTCGCTCCGTCCCAACCGTCGCCATTTCCTATCCGTTCATTTATTGGTCTGTAATGTTTGTAAAGTGAAAACAAGACTATTTTCTACCAGGGCTTTCATCTCACAGGCAAAACAAACAAAAAACCCAGAATAAAATAGAACAGAGCAGAGCAGAACTATTTCAATTGAGTTGACATATAGATACAAAAATGTATTTTGTATTCGTTAACACAAATGTTGTCATTCATTTATTATTATTATTATTAGTAATAGTGGTGTAGTGTGCTTTAGTTGTGGTTCCATCCCGCCAACTGCAACTCAAACACACACACACATACACGCAATTCAATTACACACAAAACTGTTTTCAAAAAAAATCCAAACAAACAAATTCTGTTTTTTTGTTTTTCGTTTGTTTTCTATCAACAATCAGATTCTACTATCACATTTGTGTTAGTAGTATATTTTTGTATTAGTTAGCGTATAGAATGAACTTTTAATTTATTTACACCACCACAACCACCACCTTCTTTTAGCAAAGATCAGTTTTTATGATTATTTTTCTGTTTGTCTTGTGTAATAGCCATGAAAGGAATTGTCGCTAACACACGTACGAGAGAGACAGATGGTTTGTGTGGCTGTGTAAGCCTTGAAAGATGATGTCATACAGACTTTCATTCTCTGCTCTATTAACACATTCATCTATGTGTACATGTATATTTCCACTTTCATATATATATATATGTTCACGCCCACTGGTGGTTTAAGAAGCCGCCGAATAGAGAGAGAGAGAGAGCAGTCTTCATCAATATGTTTCAAAGTTTTACTTTATGTGCTTAACTTTTACCAGCGCGCCTCTTTGTTCTTTCGTGATATCTTCAGATGAATATAAATGGAAAAGGAGAGAATTTGTTTGTACAGTTCTAATGATGAAGAATACTGTGTGTGAAGAAGGTTTGTAACAACATCCTTCTGACTTTTAAGCTGTTTTATTATTTTTTTTAATGTTTTTGTTTTTGTCTGTAAAATAACTTTTCATTTTACGCGGGGGAAAAATTCTCGAATAGTAACATTTATTCTCTTATCTACAGTTGTGTTTTTTTAAACTTGTATATTTTCTTTTGTTTATAATTTTAAACAAAACTGTTCAATGTTTCAATAGACAAATAGAGACACAGATAATAAGTTTGCTTGCTCAAAAAGACAATTGCATAGATTTATGTGTGTGTGTATGTATGTATGTGTATATACATGTGGTTATAGATAAATATTCAGAATTATAGACTGAATGGTAGAGAAAATATGGCGTTTCGTACGATATACTCACAGACACACATACAATGACTCACATACTGTTTTATTTCATGGTCCTGTGGCTTGTCTACTCTTCTTGACACTTTCATTATTGTCTTTCTCTCTTGACTGTTTGTTAACGTGTGTTTATTTTATGCGTGTGTGTGAGAGAAAGCGCGCGCGAGTTGTGCGTAGCGCGGTATTTTGTTCTATTTAGCGTTTTAAACTAACAACAGCAACAAAAATGAGTATGGACTAGCAAACTTTCTGTCAAAGTTCATTATTTATTTTTCTTTTTGTACTCGTGATCTGAGTTATTTGAACACTTCTCGTGTGTGTTTTTTTGTGTTGTTTCCCGTTTGCTCGCCTAATTTCTGACTATCCTTTTTTGGGGAATTATCTGTGTTAAATTACAGAAAAGCTGGGAAGTGAATGGTGGTGAATATTTAATTTCTTATAAAAATACAACATTGACTACTAACTAACTGGATCTCCTTACTATTTCTGCTTCCGACTGACTGACTAACTGACTGGTTTCAACATAGGACATAAGGATTCGGAAAAATGATAACTGAGCAGATTTGTGAGGGAGAAAGAACATTAATATGAAGAAACAACAGCGTTCAATGGAAATCACAAAGGGTAAATGCATCTCCACCATTAAGAATGATTTTAAGCCATATCACCAATTGTCTCCAGCCTTCATTCGTTTTTACCGTCCCGAGTACCCCAATCACACTGGCAGTCTATACCTCCCTACGTGGTTGGCTTAAAACAACTTTTATGGATTTGATTGACTGACGCCATGTATTGGTTCGACCACCACTAGCTCTTTTCCAACCTGATCCATCCTATGTCAGCTAACATCGCCCGTCGTCTAGGCATGCGTTATGCATGTCCTAACCTTCTCAATCAATGTAACTTTACAACCTCATCAATTGATTTTCCCTCCTAACCTAACACTCACCGCCTAACATCAATATTACTCACCCTGTTATACCACTTAACATGGGAGATATCAAGCAGACACCTATGATCAAAGACACCTAGCCTTTACAAATCGTCCGCTTTCGACAACCATGTCTTACAGCTAGGCATAATGGAGGACAGAGCGAACTGCTGAGCAGTATTGGTCTACAGTCGGACATGAGGTCTACTAAGCCAGAGATAGCGTAAGTAGGCGTATGCCAAACGAGTTTTTTGTATTCGTGATGAGATTTAGTCAGCGATCAACTCTATATCACGAATTGACAAAAGTTAGAATTCACAGGTGATTGAATTTCGGCGCTGGTCTCGTAACCTGAAGTTTGGTCTTCTGATCTGTGGTGGGGTCACGCATGCACACTGCTGAAAGTCGCAAAGTAGGGCGAAACAGCTGTCCAACTGATGTTGGTTCGTGACAAAATCTAAAAAACTGGAAACAATCTAAATCCCATAATCTGAAACAACAGGACGTTGGACTAGTCATTCGGATGCCATTGGTTTGAATTCTACCTCTATCGAGAGTTTTATTTTAAATTTCTGGTTGCTTTTCATGAATTGTTATGGAAAATGTCGTATAAAAGCAGTCAGGAAACAATGGCAGTTTTTGAACAAGCGAAATAGTAGATATGTCTGTGTAGCTAATCGCTGAGATTTTTTTATAGCTTAACGTCTCTCTGTCTGATACTAGGATATACGTGTACGCTAGTTTGGTCAAATAGAGCAACACAACAAGCCTTCATTTCGTCGGAATTACTTGTTGTAATTATTTCGACTGCGTTGAATTGATGCAGTCATCAGAACAGATATCTAACCTATGTAAAGTTAGCTTACTGTCATTGTTCTATTACTTTGTCTTATATATATCTTGTGTAATTGAATAAGTATAAATATGTTGAATCCGTGAATACAACTATTCCTACTCTGTTAAACCAAGGTGAAGGAGTGCGTCGGCTGGGATTGAACCCCACACCACCAGCGTGGTTGGCGTGTCTTCTACAGCTGTGCCACCGACTCACTGGTTACTATGAGCATAGATATTCATTTTAACTATGGATTGTTACCTTTCAGAAAATTATGCTGAATGAATGAGAACGGAGAATTATTCACAGAATTCTGCGCTTTCAATCATTTCGTGATCGGAGGCAGCGTGTACAAACACAAGAATATACACAAAGCAACATGGATTTCATCTGATGGACACACCACAAAGCAGATAGACTTCATCTCAATACTGCTCAAGAAGTGGAGACGCATCCAGTTTGCTGGACACAAAGTCGAGAAGGGAGAAGATGACGGCTTAGACCATTATCTACTTTTAGGAACCTTCAAGTTGAAGCTGAAATTCCTGAAACCAACTGGAGACAGGCCGCTGCAATTAAAGTTCAACATTCAGAAACTGAAGGACAAAACTACAAGGGATACCCTCACTACAGATCACATCAGAGCAAAGTCGGAGACAGTCGGTGGTATCACAGAGGAAACCGGCGTGGAAGAACATCTGGACTCTCTGAAGGTGATTTTCAAGGAAATGTGAACAACTTTTCTAGGAAGAAAGAAGAGACATGGCAAGGAATGGCTTCCAACGGTCACCTACCTGGAAGCTAATAGAAAAGAGGAGAGGAGGATGATGAGAGAGAAGATGACTCAATGCAAAGACGCAAAGAAGCTGATTTCAGTGTACACTGCACTAAATAAAGAAAGAAGTGAACAATAGTGCCAGGAAAGACATAAGACAGTTCTACTACACATTGTCCAGTAACTGAGGCAGAACAGGCAGGTCACAGGTAAAAGAGAACTGAGAACATTATATTAGATGATCAGGCTGCTCCCTATCCGGGAAGAGATCAATCCAGATGATGAAACTCATAAAATATGTCCAAGGGAACCTGATTACCAAGGGGAATAAACAATTAAAACAATGGTATGATCACTTTGAAGGATTCTTGAATCGGCCATCACCTGCAACTCGTCCAGAAATACACCACCACTGGAAGCATGCACATAACTGCCTGCCAGTGGACACCGCTCCTCCAACCAAAGCAGAAATCTTAAATGCGATCAAGTTAGTAAAGGCCAGCTGGGAAGGCATCAGGACCAGACGAATTTCCCCGAAGCATTGAAAACAGATTCAGAGATTGTGGCAGATGTTCTCACGCCATTATTGCAAGAGGTTCAGAGGGAAGCAAAACTACCTAACAGTTGGAAAAAAGGCTCGCTACTTTGTCAAGCTACGAAAGAGGGGAAACTTTGGCCTCTTCAAGAACTGGCGTAGAATAATGCTGTTGTCCCCGCCAAGTAAAATACCAAGTCACATCATCCTGGAGAGGAAAAAGGACACACTGGATGCAGAACTCCGCCCTACAAGAACAAGCTGAATTCAGGAAAGGCTAATCATGTGCTGATCAAATCCACTCATCATCAAACAAAGCCTAGGATGGCAGTCAAACCTCTCTCTACCTCAAATTCATCGACTTCGAATAGGCCTTCACCAAACAGCACTGATGGAGATTTGGAGGTTGAAGGTATCGACGTTCACGAATTGTATGGAGCATACTAACGCAAGATCGTATACCAACAACTTCTATAGTGTTCACTCTTCAAGTACCAAAGATAAAGCAAAAGACCAGATATAGTCGTCCAAAGTATGTAATATATTTCGAGACCAAATCGCGGGTTGAAGTGAATGCTTAGCTGGCTAGTGATCGTGCACGCACGTGACACGACGGAGTACCAAACGGCGGGGATGCTTGACCGGAAGCCTTCAGCTAAACAAGTCGACTTAAACAGTGAGGGTCAGCATCCAGTGTTGAGTGATGATTGCTGTGGTCAATAATTTTGGGAAAATTATTTACCGCTACAGCTCACTCCCCCCCTAGTGGGGTTGTGAGGACCCTAATACAGAACCACCTGGAAGTAGAAAATCTCGGTGGTTCCCTTATGGGTGAAAAAAATCTTCCGAGCGGCTTGGTGGAGTGCCTACTGATCTTTCTGCCTATGCTTATAGGGTGTCTGTACATAGCTTCCTCGATTTTGTTCGTTGGATTCCGAGCTTCGTTTGTTTCTTGTCCAGTGCCCATCGCACCTGGAAAAGAAAACAAGAATGCTAAGAACCTTGTCAAGGAAAATGTTCCAAATCAGCGTCTTTTTAAAAAAAATGACGTGTATCTACGATACAGTAAAATCATGTTAGGTTTAAAATATCGAAAAAAAATATACATCTAATTTAATTTTTTTTAGGTGCATGTATAATTTACGGTTATAGGAAAAAAATCTTTTACTTGTTTAAGTGATGCTACATAAAAAAAGTTGATGTGTCTGAGGAGAAATACTGATTAATGCCACAAACGAATGAGTTGGGTGAAACGCACCACTCAGTTATGTGAAATAGGTGCGAAGGTATTCTAGGAATCTAACGTGACGTCCAGAACGCGTTTTTTTAGAGGGTTCGACCGAAGTTTCGGTGGTTTTCGCCGTGCTAAGGAGTTCTTCTAGGACTAAAGGATCTTCAATTACTTGTGGATTATCGGGCACGTTTAGTTCTAAGCTAATAGGATTACCTTCTAAGTAAGCCTGTTTCAGACGGTCTACGCTGACAGTGTCTTCGCGGCCTTTCTTGTCTAAGACGAAGAATTTATCAGTACGTTTAATTACTTTATATGGTCCGTCATACGGGGATTCTAGAGGGCGACGCACAGAGTCGCGACGAACAAATACTTGTGAAGAAGTCTTCAAACAGGGGTGAACGAAGACATCAACGGACTGTGGTCGAAGCGGAGCAGGTTTAACTGAACGCATTGCGTTTTTAAGCCTACTGACGTATGAGGAGTGATCTAGCGCTGGTGGGAAGCTCGAGGGAGAAACAAACTCACCTGGTAGTCGTAGTGTCGTGCCATATACTAGCTCAGCGGTAGTACAACCAGCATCGGTTTTTAAGGCGTTTCGTATCCCTAGGAGAACTAACGGAAGGGATTCAGTCCAATGGGTGTTATTTGCAGCTGATAAACCAGCTTTCAACTGTCTGTGTAGACGTTCTACTATGCCATTAGCTTGTGGATGGTAGGCTGTTGTTCAAAAACGCATGCAACCAAGGATTTTAGTCAAAGCGAAGAATGAACCGCTTTCGAATTGCCGCCCACGATCAGTTGTTATGGAAGGTGGACATCCAAAGTTTGCGATCCATCTGTCTACAAAGACGCGTGCGACGGTTTCAGCAGATATATCCTTGAGGGGTACTGCTTCAGGCCATCGTGTGAAGCGATTGATGCAGGTTAACATATAGGTATATCCATGAGATTCTGGAAGGGGGCCAACTAAATCTATATGGACGTGTTCGAAACGGGAATCGGGGATAAGAAAGGTGCCAAGGGGGCTTTTGGTGTGTCTTATTACCTTTGTCAAGCTAAGCACGTCTGTGCCCATTCCTTTACTTCCTTATTAATACCAGGCCAACAAAAGCGACTAATTACGAGCTTGACGGTAGTTCGAATACCTGGGTGGAATGAGCCATGCGACATATTGAAGACGTCACGGTGATAACTTTTAGGCACGATAGGGCGAGGAGTACTAGTGGAAATGTCGCAGAGAATAGCATCTTTTCCTCTATCTTAGGGTATCTCGGCTTATTGTAGAGTTGTTTTCGACAACTCATGCTGAAGCTCGGTATCTCCTTTCTGAAGACCAGCCGGTTTCACAAAGTCTATGCCGTCTATTTGCGTGAAGGAACACATGCGTGACAAGGCAACTGCCACAGTGTTGTTCACTCCAGGTACATGGCGAATATCCGATGTTAACTGTGAAACGTAGTCCAGTTGTCGTGATTCCCTGGATGAGTGCTTATCTGAAGTTGAGTTCAGAGAGTACGTCAGAGGTTTGTGGTCAGTGAAAATGATGAATTCACGACCCTCAACTGTTAGTCAAAAGTGGCGTATAGCACAGTATATAGCTAGAAGTTCTCTTCCGAATGTGCTGTACTTCGTTTTAGCTAATTGAAGGCTCCTCGAGAAGAAGGCGAGTGGTTACCACTCCTTGTTAACTAGTTGTTGCAGAACTGCGCTGATTGCAGTTTATGATGCATCAACTGAGATACTTAATGGTGCCGTTGGATCCTGATACATAAGAAGGGTTGCATCTGCAATAGCTTTTTTTTACCTGAGTAAAAGCATGTCGAGAAGACGCGTCGAGTTCGATAGACTTGTTATTCCCTCGAAGAAGGTCTGTCAGTGGCTGAATCAGAGAAGCACAGTTGGGAATAAATCGTCGGTAATAACTTACCAAGCCGTTCAAAGTGCGAAGGCATTTTACTGTCTTTGGCTCCGGAAAGTTCAGTATCGCTTCAACTTTGTTAGCCCGTTGGCGAATGCCCTGGCAGTCAATAGTGTGACCCAGGAAGTCGATTGAGTCAACGCCTATCTGACACTTTTGGATATTGATGGTAACACCATGTAGGCGTAACCTTTCAAATGCCAAGTCCAAGTGTCTAAGGTGAGTTTCTTTGTCTGGACTGGCAATGAGGCAGTCGTTTAAGTATGCGTATACAAAGTCGAGACCGCGAAATACTTCATCGATGAAGCGTTGGAATGTTTGGGCCGCATTCCGGAGGCCGAATGGCATACGTAGGAATTCGAAAAGTCCGAAAGGCGTGATGATAGCCATTTTCGGAATATCTTCCGTTGCCATCGGGATTTGGTTAAACGCTTTAACCAAGTCGATTTTACAGAATACAGATGAGCCAGATAACGTTGCCGTCAAGTCGTGTATGTGAGGCAAAGGGTAGCAATCAGGGATTGTTTTGGCGTTCACTTGCCGGTAATACCAGTGAGTCGCCAATCGTTACTATCCTTTTTCGGTACCATGTGCAGTGGGGATGCCCATGGACTATTCGATGGCCGAATGATGCCAAGGGTGAGCATATGATCGAATTCATTTCTAGCAATTCTCAGTTTGTCAGGAGCCAGTCGTCGTGCTTTAGATGTCACGGGCTGTCCTGAGGTTATGATGTGGTGCATAACATTGCTGGTTGTGCACGGGAGATCGTTAGATAAATAAATAATAGTATATTCCCATTTTGTACATGAGGGACGCCAGTTTACAGGCATCATCAATATGATAAATTACATGTACGATTAGTAAACATATTTAATAATAGTAATTTAATAAAATACATTTTTTCCTACCTGTGTAGGACACACCAATTGTACAGGCATGGATAAGTATTATTTAAATCACATAAATTTGGTTCATGATAAAATTATAAGGTTGCAGTCATTATGTCTATGGGAACAATATGATAACTAGTCATTCAATGGAGCACATCAAGAAATGTAGAAATATTGTCTTCCCATTAACAAAAAAACCCAAGTATGTTTTGGATGGATTACAAATACTTGGGGAAAAAATAAAGCTTGAAGTAATTCCTCCATATAACTTTGGTGTGTACGGCATCGAGTCTTATTCTTGATAATAATTTAAAATAAGTAATGCACTTGTATACTTTTGTCAGCATTTTCTTCGTAACATCACAAGTGAATAGTACTCAAGGTAGACTAATAATAATGACAGTTTATATTTTCTTATGGGCAATTAGGTTCCGGATATTTGTCAACAATCGTTTGTAAAGCCGGATCGAGGATTGATTTCATCTTAACGATTGACAAGCTGGTACCTATGTAGGTGATGCCTTTTATCGACGGGCTAGTAGTATTGTCAATCAGTCGTTTACGGCGGACGTCTACGAGTAAATCACGATGATTAAATAGGTCCGTGCCAATGATAGGCATCGTGACGTCAGCGAGAAGAAAAATCCACTGAATAGGTTTGCGTAAACCTCCGTTCAGATGGACGTATTTCCTACCAAAGGTTGCGACTGGTTTCCCATTTGCAGCCTTTAAGTTGAAGGTAGGTTCCTTCTGTCGATCTGCTGCTGTGGCAGGAAGGACACTGACTTCGGTGCCGGTGTCGACCAAGTATCGGATCTGGGTGATCACATAGTGGATGTAAAGTAAGCGGCTAGTGCCACCGGCGACGGTTGCTGCTAACGCGTGCCGGCGGAACAGTTTCCCACAGACCTTGAGGCATTGCCGAATTTGCAAGGTTTACGGCAACATTTCGCTTCCTGGCCGTATGTGTTATGATACCAGCACCAGTTAGGGTTTTTCAGGGAATGTGGCTTGGACTTAGATCGACCACGTGCGTTTTGCCGTTGAGGGAATTTAGGATGACGATAGGAGGAATTGCTAGGCTTGTTTGACCTAAGCATCTGCTGGAGGAAGTTGCATAACTCTATCACTGCAGTATCCTTACCTGAAGTCCGTTTGGCCACCGAGTATATTTCGGTAACTGACCGTTTAGTTATCTCTAGAATTTTATCTGCACGGACAGCTAAGTCATCCATAAGAACACCCTGGAGTGTCACAAGTACCGTCTGAACTGACTGTGGCAGTTTGGATAAAGAGTTCATCAAACAGCTAAACAGAAATGCGGGTATTACCGTTACGGACCAAAGTGCTGGCACTACTATTTCACAGGACGAAGACCTAGTGGTTACTCCCCAAATAAACTCGGCAGTAGTACTAGGGAAGCTACAGTGACTCACACCTGGGAAGTCCCCAGGTTGTGACGACATCAGGCCATCCGTTCTGAAACAGTGCACCGAAGCTCTCTGTAGGCCCTTATGCGACTTGTTCCAACACTCGATGGATTCGGGGAAACTGCCAAGGGAGTGAAAAAGAGCCATCCTTCCTCCGATCTTCAAGGATGGGGGTAGGCGAAGTGCCACTAGTTATAGACCGGTAGCTCTACTCCCAGTGGTATCAAACGTACTGGAAAGTATTATTAAGAGTCACATCAGGGATTACCTTGATAGGTCTAATATACTCCATGAAGCCCAACACGGCTTCAGAAAAGGCAGATCCTGTGTAACATACCTACTATCAGCTTGGGACGATTGAACATCATGCTGGGATATGAATGTTCCAGTCCATGTGGTCTTCCTAGACTCTGAGTAGGCATTCGACACTGTTCACCATGACCTTCTCCTGCACAAAATAGGCCAAGCAGGTATTGATAAGCCACTTCTGTCACGGTTAAAGGACTACCTAGCTGAAAGGCAATTTTGCACTAAGGTCAACTGAATCCGGTCATCTTGGCACAGCTCGTCATCAGGAATTTCGCAGGGTTCTATCCTAGAACCAATGATGTTTTTGTTTTTATCAGTGATCTGCCATGCCGTCTAAGCTGTCCGACTCTTCTGTACGCTGACGACGTACAGATATGGAGGGCGATAAAGTGTCCGGAGGACTCAGATAGGCTGCTGGAAGGTCTAAATCTTCTGAAAGACTGGGCGGTGGCCAGTGGCATGACTTTCAACCTGAAAAAGTGCATAGTGGTGGAGTTACGCACCTGTAGACTGCAGAATGCAAGTTACACCCTGTGCAATGAAAGCTTATCCTGCACAACGTCGGAACGCGACTTAGGTCTAGCTCTAACGGAAGAAATGGACAGAAGCGTAAATTACACGGGGGACGTAGCGAGGACATATGCGGTCATACACTTTACGCGTGGACAGTTAGGTGCACTCACTCCTGAGCTCTTTCTAAGGTTGTACAAAACATACGTCAGACCACACCTTGAAGTGCATAATATTATTGCACCATCACTTGTTAGAAGAGATGTCAACCCCTTGGAAGGAGTCCAAAGACAGGCAACAAAAAATGTGGTTGGTCTCCGAAACAAACCATATGATGAAAGGGTAAAGAAATGAGGTCTATTCACACTTAGCTACCGTCGTCTTAGGGGGGATTTAATTACTGTCCACAAAATAACAAATGACCAGAATCACCCAAACAAAGGTGTTCTGCCATTGAGTAGGTATACGCTTCCTCGTGGAAATCCCAGAAGGATAGCTCACCAGAGGGCAAGGACCCGGGTGTGCTCCCACTTCTTTTCCCTGCGGGGTTGCCATCCCTGGAATTCCTTACCGGCAGATGTAGCTATAGCACCGTCTGTGGACTCCTTTAAGTGAATGCTGGACAAACATGCAGCGACACAAGGACTGTATCCAAATGGCCTGTCCCCTTAAAATCCCATACACCGTTTAGGGGTAGACAACTAAGTTTGTCGTTTTTACTTCTTTACATTCTCTCCCGTCTTACTCTCCTGACAACTCTAAGTAAACTTATTATTATCATTATTACAGACATATATATCAGCTTCAAATTTAATCAGCTGACTGTTGTTACGTTTTCTTATTCTTTTTCTATCAGTTAGTCTGAATAACTTCACTAATTACATATATTATTATGATTATCTCTTTTCTTTTGACGACGATACTGGAGGACTTACTGGCGAAAGTAACAACTCTATTCATAGTGGTAACAGTCTTAACACACCTCATACTGAAAACCACATATAATTAATCCCAGCACTACTCCTTTTGGAGTCAACCAAAGCTATGACAGTCGAGTGGCGGGATGAGCTACGTAGAAGTTTACCGAAGATAAGGAACCTCACAATCAAGAGACGAGCACAAAGAAATCAAATTGGCTTATACTAGCTAGTAAAAACGATATTGGATATTGGTTTGAACGCTAATGCATTGTATGTTGGCGCTAATTCAAACGGGTGTGCTTCATCATGGCTTTATCAGAATTAACGCGCTTTGAGGTTATAAATAGGTTTCAGGATGAATGCCCATATAAGGACCTGTCGGTACACCTATCAGAACTTGATCTTCACACGAGTCGAAAGTCTGAGGTACTAAGTTGATCATGTAATATACAGTTTTAGAGTTACATAAAACCGATTGAACACGGACTTCAATGTGGTGAAACTAAAATTCACTTTCTTCATGGAACCACTACTCTCGCCTTCAAATATTCAGGCGGAGTAATTGTCGCAACAGATTCCCGTGCAACTGCTGGAAGCTACATTGGTGAGTTCACCCATGATTGCTTCATCACTACATGGCTTAGCTTCTGGAACCACAAAGAAAATAATTGAAATTGACAAATTCTTACTCGGAACTATGGCTGGTGGTGCTGCAGATTGTCAGTTTTGGGAGCGCGTTTTGACAAAGCATTGCAGGTACTTCGCGACTCTTGTCGTATTCGTAGATTATTTGAATTGAGGAATAAGGAAAGGATATCTGTTGCAGCTGCATCCAAGCTGTTAGCGAATATGATTTATAACTATAAAGGGATGGGTTTAAGTATCGGCACAACCATTGTCGGTTGGGATAAAAATGGACCGGGTGTTTACTACGTGGATACAGATGGAAACAGGACTTCCGGAAACCTATTTTCTGTGGGATCTGGTAGTCCCTACGCCTATGGTGTTTTAGACACTAAGTATAAGTACGAGATGAAGGATGAAGAGGCCTACGAACTCGCTAAGCGATCAATATTTCATGCTACTCATCGTGATGCTGCATCTGGTGGATTTGTTAACCGTGAGTCCCTGTACATATTATATATATTTGTTCCCTAGTGTATCATATGAAGGAGGATGGGTGGAAGTTCATTGGAATTTTTGACGTCGGAGAACTTTACTACAAATATATGTCGAAGTAAATTTTAAAACCATAATAAAGACTTCTTGCTTTATACTTGTCTTCTAAGTCACAAACAAATGTTTTTTGTTTCAGAACCTCAAAAGGGTAATTGAAAGTCTTTTTTTTCGTTAATACTTCGCTCCATTCAGAAACGCAAAGCATGCTATCTGGTTGTTTATTTCGTTGCTTTAGTATGGGTCTGTGAATATGTCATTTACTGTGTTCCTATATACAGTTGCTTTCATCTGGATATTCTGCGAAATGATGTGGAAAATAAACAAGGCAAGTGCTGGGGTAGTGTTAAGGTCTTAGCCGATACGCATCTTCTTGGATATGTTCTGGGTCATCCTATTGATCGTAACAGAAAGTTTGGATTGTTTTTACTTGTTTATATGAAATTGGTTGTTAATGTTCAGTCTAAGAATGTTTTTAATAGATACTTGTGCATTAAAATCGTATGTAATTGAAACTTTTGATGTGCTTCTAAATTAAGTTTTGTAAGAGTGACATGAACTTGCATACTTGGTGTGTTTTCAATCAATTGGCAGCTAACAGTGTACGCCTAGGTGTCTTGTTACGTAGACATTCACGCTGGGATGAATTATGCATATCAGGATGATTGTTCCCAAAGTTTTAACATGTTAGGCGGATTTTGACTTGAAATAGTTATGATATAAACTAATTGTTAATCTATCTGGCTTTCTGTGTGTATGGCAGTAATCCTCTGCTCCCCTCAGATAACTGTAAGACCACTTACGTTGCCTTCAATTGAGGAAATGAAGGATTACGACAGACTAGCTAAAAATACATTAGACTACTCGATAGTCGGTAGTTTACACATGCAGCCTCTCAATAGGCCACACCTCACCGACGGACGTCTGTGTTAAATATGTGCACAGTATAAGTAGTAGTGTTGTATGGCTGCAAGACCCCTCATCTGTCTGTAGTTTCCGTCTCTTAATGTGCAATATTCTCAGCTTCCTCCGTGATGTCTTGGTCCAGTTTTCTGCTTCGTTGATGTTTTCTGTCATATCGGTTTATTCACATCTTGCAGCATGAATGTATAATCTGTTTGTGTAACATGGTGCGCATGCATCGTGATTGACTTTATTACATCTACTCAGAGTATTGACACTGCACACTTAGTTTTTAGGGTGTGAAATATCCTTTTTTCATATGATACTTTCACAACTCTTGAGTTGTGAAGCAGCTGTCCATGAGGATTGCTTATTGCATCAGGAATTATCATCTGTCATTTATTTTCTGTCAGCAGTAATTTCACATTCAAAGAAAAGCCTTGTCTAACCTTAAAGTAAATCCAACTCCACATGAATCATATATACCATGCTGCGATGACCGATTACTACAATAGATCAGCAGCTGCAACTGAAAGACGTAGTTCTAGAGTGACCATGTGTTTATTTTACTGTATAGACACGGCGGGAATGGGAGGCCATACTAGGGTTAGTTCGATAAGATCTATAGAATGTGACCGCTTGTCGTGAAGCAGCTTGTCATAATGAGTATGCTTAGAATACAATGATAGGGGGTCTTTTTGCTGAAAGATGGTGTATCCACTTTCAATGTCATGATGGGTTCCTGCGTCTACTGGTTATATGTTTTCGTGAATTCGTTCGCCATTGAAATTTAAAGGTATTTTTGGACGTTTGCTTATTTTTAGTGTTGAGGTCAATTTTTGTCACTGGATGCTACTATGAAGCGTATTTTAAGTCTGAAGTACCCAGTTATTAAGTTGGTGGTTAACAATTATGGTAAACTTGCAATCATTGAGCTAATTCACGTATACTATGCTAATATAGTAACATTCTTTAGTAAGTAAACTCCGTAACTGTTCTGCAATTGTTTGATTATTAGCACAAACTGGAACTGTGTGCTGGTTAGTTAATCAGCATGACTGGCACTAATTCAGCATCTTGCTCTTCTTCTACGCATTTTCAGAAGTAGATTATCAGCCTTATTGCGGACGTCCTAGCCCCGGTTCAGCATCCAGTGCTGCTTTCTAAGAAGGACCAGGGTTATTTCAGTTTACCGTAAAAAGGCATTACTGACGCGTTGGTTAGATTTTGTTTAGAATTGTTTTAAGGTTGGTCGTTGAAGCGTTGCTACGGTATAAGTGATAAATCGTATTAGTCACCGTTACTCACGATATGGTATGAACCAGTAATCTTCGGCTAATAAAACATAGTAAATAAGGCACAGACCGGTGTAATTTCTAACTGACTTTCAAAGCGCTCTCATCACGAAACAGTCAACCAAAGTATGCTTTAAGCTGTCACTCTTAGGCATTTAAAGGGGAAGGAAGTGTAACAGCAGTTTAGACATACATGTTTGTATTAAGAATACAAACGGAAACAATAAAGTAATACAAACATTTCCACAAAAATAAGCGATTAACAGGAGCACGTCGTAATCTTAGAGTTGTGTACGGTTCATTTACTAGCAAACTGTCCAACCTTCTGGTGAACTCTGTTATCTCCCGCAGTGCAGCATCGGGATTTCTTTGGTTCAGGCTGACGAGACGACATCTTAACCGTTCATAGGCATTCCGAAACACGTTGTTTGGTTCCGGTGTTAAGCGGGCGGCTCGCGGAATGTTGTCCGTGGTGTTATACCGACGTGTCCACCTCTCGCTATTTCTCAGAATATCTAAGAGTAACATTTAAGGAAATGGGACATATCACAGTTTAGATATGAATTCAAGAAAGCCTCAACGACATGCGCACATGGCAAACTGTATGCACAGTATGTCCAACATGTGCATTTTGCCTCATTCCTGTTTACGAAGAAGATGTGACTGCCTTTTGCGTAATTAACTGAGGTGGAGGATATTGAATGGAAGAAGAAAAAGTGCCTTTGCAAGTCTAAAACAACTTTCTTGGCAGCAAAGGGTGTGAAAAGCCGTAATATAGACTGCAGCGAAGTATGTACCTAGGAAAAGTCGTAAATTATCTTGAAACTTACATCGTAATTGTAATATTTACAAAGCATCCACTGGCCCTGACGTATTTTACGTATGGTTGTGTGGTCAATCCACCTCCATATTTTCCATGGCGTCAGTTCCAGCGGATCACCTTTACGTAAATACCTTTTCAACTGCCTATAAGCATTCTCCACCCTGTTATTAGTGTTGTTCCCCATGCTGATAGTGAACCGGTTGCACGATGCAGCCCAATATTTCAGTGTTCTCAGCCAGTACCTTCTGATGTAAGCACCAGCCTCAGCATCTGTCATACTTGTGAGGTTTAGGTTACTCGAAAACCTTTGCCAATATATTCTGAATTGTTGACCCAACTGGCGTAACTGCGCGTGTGTGCCATTCGATACAACCACTTTTTAACACGTTGATTTCGGAACTGTTTTCGCTATGTTAGTTAATGGGAATGAAACTTACCTTCCTTCTGAATGCCCGGCATACATTGAAAAGACATGAAACAATGCTGCATCTAGGGAATTCCTCCTTTAGAGCATTCATCAGTGCAGTTGCACAGTCGACAGTGAATGTTACTGTTTTCGATGTATCACTCATGAATCTCTTAAACGTCCGCAATATCTCCTTGATATCTGCAAACCTTTCTCTCCTAGTAAGAGCAAATAAAACAGTCCTTCCCCTTCCAAATCCATCAGTCACAACAAACTGATATAAAGGTCATCTGTAATATTCGTTTTATAAGTACAATCAATTCCAACTACTTCTGGAAACTTATGATAGAGGTCTATCATATCATTACGAGCGAAAATGATTTTCGATACGAAACCTGCATTGTCATGCAGAACATTAACTGGACCTGTCTGCTTCAGTTGATGAAGGAGGTTTTGTAAACTACCGATTTCTATTCTACTGCCCCATTTATTTTGATACAACTTACGTTTATTTATCCTAGCCCGCATGTTTTTAATATCATTATACAGGTGAACTTTGCTGAATTTCTCATGCACTAAATCTATGATTTCATGGACATCAGTGTTCCTTTCAATAAACGGTTGCACAACCGTCATTTCCTCTGATGATAGCCGACGTCCAAATACATCGGTGGACATGAAGTTTACTGTGCATGGATGGTTATGCACAGTTTGTTATCTTGTATACTTCGGATGTATGCCGTACCGTAATTGTTGACTGACATGAGATACTTTTGAAACTTAAAATTTTTAAAATTTACACGCACAGCCAACTTACCCTTTGTTCCTAAAGCCAGCACCTCAGGGAACCCGTTTACCTCCAAAAGTGCATTCATACCTCACAAACTCATATTCCATAGGGCAAGATGGACATTTTTTACTTGAAGCAACCCTGTAGGATGTGTTGCATTCCTTTGAAAGAAATAATGAACGATTTAGTTATTACCCTCATAAATGCGTCAAAAGCTTGCTTAAATTGTACCCACGTATAAAATACACAGCAAAGCATTATTCTTCCGAATATAGCCGTTACATCAGACAATATAGATGACACATTTCGTGATGTAGAGGCAGTAGGAGTATTTTGTAACATCATTTAATGATTTTAACAATTCCTAACAAACACAACACAATGATTTCAAGTAAATGAACAATAGTATATATTTCAGTGCTTATATACCACTGTTGTGACCTAGGAAATTCTAGCTTGATTTATGCTAACCTAGTAAGCACAAATCACACAGGTCACTGAACTGACAACTTAAAAAAGAGGGTCAATTAATATATATATATATATATATATATATATATGTCAGGGGAAGTCGTCCACTTCATTGCTTACTGTTGCTGGCGTCACTCAAGGCTCTGTCCTTTCTCCTTTTCTGTTTTCTTTCTTGTTGCATGACCTGCCTCACTCTGATGGAATGAATGCTGTTAAGTACGCGAACGATCTAACTATTTCATTGTCTATTAACTCCCAGCTAGACTGTAGTAAGATGAACAGCTTTCTGTCAGGAGTCAGCAAATGGTCTTCGTCTAATGGTTTTAAACTAAATCCTTCTAAGTGTCAGACTGTTAATTTCAGTTTCAGATGTAAAAGAAAGTTAAATGAAGCTGTTAATTCCTATGACTATTGTAAAATTGATGATAATGATATAGAAATCAGGTCTGACGTTAAGTATCTTGGACTAATTCTTTCTTCTGACCTATCCTGGTCTTCCCATGTCTTAGCGATTTCCAGAAAATATTTCGTCTTACTTTTTACATTAAGAAGTTAAGGCACTCAGACATAACCCAACCACTCCTCTTACAGTTTGTCAACTCGTGCATCTTACCTAATCTTCTTTATTCTTCACCCTTATTCTTTCCTGGACTGCTTAAAAAACTATGTCATACTTCGTAGAGCTCTAAATAATGTCAGTAGAGCGAGTGATGGTAACCCATTCTCCCACATCGCTGACATCGTCACTGATGATAGGCAC